TGCTGCAAACAATAGAGCTCTGTTAACGACTGGAGTTTTGGAAGCCAAGCTGTATTGCTATGTGCTGGAAAAATCAAAAGATATGTGGACTGACATCTATACGATCTATAGAGAAAATAACTTATACATTAAGAAATAAACTGGACAAGTTTTGGGCTGTATGGTCAAAATTCTACAACTTTGTGTAGAACTGCAGCGTGCACACGGTGGACTTAACAGCCTGAAACTCTGACTTGATTTGTATATCTGTCCTTCCCTTCTGTTATGGTTTGCTTTGTTTTTGTTTCTGTTACTATGTTATTTCTGTTGATGTTGTGGTATTTTTTTTTTTATTATTATTATTTTTTAATGTTCACGGTGCACCATGTAAAACCGGTTAAAACCAATAAATAAATGTTTTTAAAAAAACAAACCTGTCTAGCATGCCTGCAGCATTATATCAGAACCACATCACTGAAACAAATTTTTATTATTTCAGAAAATGCAAAAAGAGATGTAAAACAGAACTGTTCTGGTACAAAATAGATGATATCTGTCTAACTGATTACTGTTTTCTATTTTTTAAATAAAAAAAATCTTTGTACATACTTCCAACACAAACCAAAACCCTGAACTGATAAACTATTTGATTACACTGTGCCTTCACTGCTAACAGAACATCCTTTACATTACAAACAATATCTGAGACTCTCAGGTGCTGCATGAAACGCTATAATCCTGGAATTACCACTTCTTTATTGATTACTTTTAAAATTTGTTTTTAACTTTATCACTTTTCATATCATTTTTGGACACAATGAGCAACAATTCACAGTAAAGGCTGGAAACATTGTACAGAGGCACGTGTTTCAATTATTTGGTCGAGAATAGGTTGTTGACACCCCCTGTCCCTTTCTTATAAATAACCACTAACTACTAACAAAGTATGCTCTCCTCGAGAAGCATGACTTACAGCCATCATGCTTCAATCACAACAACTTTCACAGGACGATACAAGAAGTGTTACAGAGATGCGCAGACATGGATGAGACTGCAAAACACTTTCCTGTTGCTTTTGGAACCTGATGTCCATCAATCCACACAAAGAAAGTTTCATAAAACACGACCCTTCCTAGGAGAGGCTCTCCTGCTAAGATAACACTAAATGCTACAATGAGGCAAAACCAAAGAAGGACAGCAAATCTAAATCTCTACATCTAGCTAAAATATATAACATGTACATGTATGAATAATAAGAATACTGTCAGTGTGACAAAATCACTGCTGTTCAAAAAATGTACGGAAAAAATAAGACAACACTTCTCTCCAGAAAGATTAGACAAATGTCACCAGCTGTAGCTCAGGTGTTAGACTGCTTTCTGAATAGTTGCAGCCGAGTTCTTTGTTGCAGATGACAAACATATTTCATGGGAACAAATGAGCTATATTTTGGTCTACAGACTAATCACTGTATTAAACTAAATATGGAGATAACACTATACTATTCACCTTTGTTTATATCTATTCTGCACACTTATAGTTCATACAAAAACATTTATAGTGACAATATGAAGGTTTTTTCTTTGTAACTGTGAAATCAGGTTTCAGTTAGCAGACTCGCTCCCAGCATTCATCTCCAGCAGTCCAGGCCTCCCCTGATTCTTCCTCTGTTTACCAGTATTTCCAGATGTGTCCTTGTGTCGTGAATCGTTCTGCTGTCTGGTGTAGCGCTTGCATTTGCAGGAGGTCACCACAGTTATCTTGTAGGTCCTCGTGCTCCCATCGTGGCACTGCAGCTGGATCCGCTGGGTCCTGGTTCGATCGATAACACAGCGCCACTCCTGAGCATCGCGGCGGCTCCAGTACCTCCCAGTGTGAGTTCTACCAATCCAGTTGGGCAGCAGCTGAGCTGGCAGACACTCCCCAGCACACACCAGCTCCTTGATAGGGTTGACACTGGTGCACTGGCCATCAGAGATGTACTTCGTGGACCTCAACTCCCTGCAGCCCACCTGGCTCTGGTCTGGCCCTAAGACATGAAAAGTGAGTTACATATATGTGTAGCTTAGATCAGTCTTCTTGTTATTCCAAAGTATGTGTGTGTGTATATATATATTATTGTTTTTTGTTTTGTTTTAAGTGGGTAGTGGTGGTGGTGGTATAGAAGTGTGAAGTGTAGATTAAAGAACTCTTTCTTCTCCAATGCCATTAGACTTCTAAACACCCGGCAGGAGTGTATTTCCTTGGTCTACCTCAGGTTACGACTGTCTACATTTCTGAGTTTGCACACACATAATTGCACCCTCGCTGTGTCCGCTGCACATACAGTTAATGTAGCATTCAAAATGAACATATATATGCACACACACACACACACATCCTCAATATTAAATTTGGGTCAGTTTGAGTCGATCTGCACATTTGAGGTCCATGGTGAAATCAGTGAAATCAGAGTCAGGGGTCCTGCTGGTACTTTCAGGAAGCTAAAAATAGCATCAGAGCTGAATATGAATTTGTAAAATGACAACTGAAATATTTACAACGGTGATGATTTGTCATTAAACTGAAGGTGAAGAATTGGTTTAAGCCCAGTTAAAGGAAAACAGCTACTGATATTTCTGTTGTAAAAGAATTTAACATGATTTATAATTCACACCACTAACTGTCCCATGATACCAGTTTATGACGTGTTCATGTTAGTCTGATATTTCCACATTTCTGCACTTCATGACACAGTTTGTCTTTTTTAAATCAGTAGTTTCATATCTGGACCAAGAGTCATGCACATGAAAAGCATTTTGTGATTTAATAATGTATTGTGCATTTCTGTATTTACAAACTGCTGCTGAATTTCTTTTCTTTATTTAGACATTAATAATTATAAATCAATAGTTATTGCATAATTTAACTGTTAATAAAAGAGAACTTTGAAATGAATGTTTCTAAATGTTTCACTTGACAAACAAGTGTCTGCTGTTGTCAGATCTAGTTTTTACCAGCTTCGTCTTATCTCTAAGGCTAGGCGCTATATCCCGCATAAAGATCTCGAAAAGCTCATCCACGCCTTTGTAACGTCGAGGCTAGACTATTGTAATTCACTTTATTGTGGTCTCCACTCTTCCCTTTTACAGAGATTACAGACAGTTCAGAATGCTGCAGCTCGCATTCTAACTAAAACCAGCAAGTTTGCCCACATTACTCCTGTCCTTGCCGATCTGCACTGGTTGCCCGTCAAATATCGTATTCAATTTAAAATTTTGTTGTTTACTTTTAAAATTACTAACAACACTGCACCCAGCTACCTTAAGGACCTTTTAAACCCTTATGCTCCTGCTAGGGCTTTAAGGTCATCGTCACAGTTACTGCTGGCTCAGCCCAGATCTCGACTTAAGACTAGAGGTGATCGATCGTTTGCTCTTGTCGCACCTGTGCTGTGGAACAATCTCCCGATTGGCATCCGGGCATCTGATTCTATTCATTCTTTTAAATCACAGCTTAAAACATATCTTTTTAAACTTGCCTTCTCCACCTTTTAATTGCTGGTTTGTTTGTTTGTTTGGTTGGTTGCTGTGACCTATTGACCTCTTGTATTAATTCCCTCCTATCTTTCTATTGGTTGTCTTTTTTATGGTGGTACAGCTTTTATCGTGCTATTACCCATGTGCTGTAGTCATTCTTATTGGTAGCTTTTATCTATGAACATAACTCGTTATTTTTATTTATCCGTTATCAATGTTTGAACCTTTTATTGTTTTATGTAAAGCACTTTGGTATGCCCAGGGCTTTTAAATGTGCTCTATAAATAAAGATTGTTGTTGTTGTTGTCGTAAAAAGGCATTTACAGAAAAAGACACTCAGCTCTCAATTAAAAAAAAACGATTTATAAAAAATTCTAAATTTAAATTGCAAACAAATAAGTAAATAGATTCAAACATCGAAATTAGGAAAACAGTTTTTTCCAACATGTAAAATGGCAATTGCATTCTCCTTTTCCCATGAGGTTGTCGTGGTCCTGAGTCTTTTTCTGGACTTATTCATTCCTTTGTAAATATAATTAATTATGAATGTGTTGTTCTTCTAGAGCCTCTGAGACTGCTGTTTATAGTTCTTATTTTCATAATGGGAGTGCCCCGTTCATGTCCAGTCTGTCTTGCCTATGTTTTGTTATCATGTTTCCATGTCTGTTTCTCCCCACTGTCCTCTCTTGTGTGTCATGTTTGTCCCTGAGTCCTGCAGTTGGGCCACAGCCATACTTGACACAGCTGCTGCTTTAACTATTATATGAGGTACAAGACAAGATTCAAAGATGACTCTTAGTCCTTGGAGAAAAGGCAACACAAACTAGAATTATAAAAGTCATGTTTATAATACTTCTTCTTCCACTTATTGTAAGTGGGCATATGTGCATGTATAGAAGAAAATATCCAGAGTCTCAGTATTATTTTTGTTATAGATTGTGAAGCCTTATATATGCTATCCATCCACTTAAACACAGGAATCCAGAGTTGAATTAAATAAATGTCATGTTATTCTGTTGTGATTATTAACAAGAGGGAGAGTGAGAAGAGACTGATGGGTGAACTCTCTTATATCAGGGCAGGGAGCAGCACTGTGCTATAAATTCATTAAACTATATAAATAGAGCCTGACTTCTTTCACAGAGAAATAAAACAGGCTTTTTTTTCAGTTATAAGTTCCAACTTCAAAATATTTATTTGCTGCACTAAGAGACTTTACTCTGTCTTCATCACTCTGTCTACTTAGCTTTAGTATTATGAAACTTCTGTGTTTGCTGCAGGATTCTAAACCATTTGTATTGTGATTTATGAGCCGTGAACTTGTGGAATTTACAGCTTTAGTAATGTAGCCTTTATTAAAGCCACAAAAACAAGTGAGAATTAATTCCACATTCCACGACTGTAATTTGAACTGATGTATCATTGATATCATTAAAAAAGCTCAAAGGTTCCTTATATTTTTTTAAAAGACAGTCATTTTGTTCAGTGTTTTCCAACAGATGACTATGGCTATGTTGGTTGTTACATGTATGAAAACCAACCCGAACTTTATAAACATTTTAACCTAGCTATCACATGGCTTTAGCTACCTACTGAAAAACCGATTGAACCCGAAGGTATTACTTTCAGCTTTTTAATAATAGTCCACTTTTTAAACGATTAATATTGGTGTGGTCTTATAATACAAAAACCACAACAACAACATTAAAATTTACTGTCACCAGTGAAAATGACAAAATGTGGGATATCGACAGAATTCCACAGTGCCCTCTAATGTGAGAGTAATAAGCATGTGACAATCGAGCCTACGCTATACTGCTGAAAGTATTCCTTTGTCTGCCTCCACATGCATATGAACTTGAGTGATATCCTTCTCTTGATCCACAGGGTTTGAAACGATGCTGGCTCACCCTTTGCAGCTATAACAGTTTATGTTTATGTGCTTATGGAAGTTTTTGACCATTTTTCCAGAAGCTAATTTGTCAGATCAGATTCATGTTGAGAGAGAAGACCTGGCTCACAGTCTCCATTCTAATTCATCCCAAAGGTGTTCTGTCAGGTGTTATATAATCTACAACAGACAGACATTTACAGCATGCACCTGCAAAAATCTCAACACCAGCAGCTAGGATTTCTTTGTTGGTTCAGCTATAAATGTCTGTATTGACAACGGGCTTTGGGCTTCACTGTGGACTGTGCATGGCACTGCATGTATTTTAATTACAGTTTTTTCATAAATCCTGCATTCCAGACATGGATATCTTGTAGTTTTTTGTTTTGTAAGATTACTTTTTACCTAGGTTTAAACTGATTGCATCATCATAATACAAATAAATAAATACACAAATAAATAAATATTATTATTCCAAACTAGATTTTTTTCTTTTCAATTTTAGTTGTACTACTGTCACATAATACTTTATGATGTTTTCTATCACATTATTTAATTTTAGCCATTTGGACTCACCATCACGCAGAGAGTCAGAAGGCCGTCTCCCTCTATTCCTCGCCTGGTTTGTGTCTTCATCGGTCGGCGGGTCCTGAGTTTCAGGGACCAGCTGAGGACTGACGGACTCTGTGGCGTTATTTTCAACAGCTGAACTCATGCTCAGCAGCAACAGGAGCGCAAGGAGCCGGAGCGCGCTGACAGAACGAAGCATGACTGCACCTGACGCACCTGATGGATAAGTAACCTGCAGGGCTGTGCTTTATATATCCTCACTGGCAGCGACATTTTATGAATGAGCTGAACACACCTACTTGCACAGCAAGAAAAGAAAAATGCAGGTCGAGAGCCAGAAACCACATGTATTTTTGCAAACTGAATTGGCGCATTTATTCATGATCACACAGGTGTTGGAAACACCAGGATTGCAGAGGTGTACTGTGTCATCGGAACTTACCGGACAACGTTTCAGTATTCAGCAGAACAAAAATCCACAACATGGCCAAAACAAGCACAGAGCTTTTCAGGTTAATGGGTTGAAATATTCTGGAGCGAGTGAGGCAGTTCTGGTAATTATGTGTCCAAAGGACTGTGTATGCCACGTGGTTCATTCTGTGAAATTTATTTTGAAATTGAATGTAGCCTAATCTACATGTTTTATGATAAACTAAATGCACAGATCTGTCTCAGCTCATTTGATCTGGACTACAGAGCCATCCCACTGGCCACAAAGACATTTGTCTCCACCTAGTGGTGAGTTAAAATTAGGTTTCATACAAATTTTCAAAGATGTGACAAAAAACCGGAACCCTCACCTCAACCACGAGTGGATCAGGTCACTTTGTTATGCTACTGGCAATTTACTGCCATGGTTTGGGTTCAATGAGCAGTTACGGAATGTCAGTATATTTGTTGTGAGTGATCACCTTTATATGCTGGGTGTGCTTTCTCCTTAGTTCGTTATACTTTGAATAAATGCCAAAAAAAAGTTGTAAATCTTCATGAGATCAAAAACAAGGGTGAATGAAGCTGCTCGTGTTGCTTTTTCCTCTCTATCCGACCTATAAATGTGATCTATGTACTCAGTACTGAAACAGGAAGTAAGTGTTTCAGACTTGTTAGTGTAAAACAAAATCGTAATATTCCCTAATTTATGTCATTCAACCACAGTGTAGTTTAAGTAGCACATTTATATAAAGTGAGAAAGCGCTCTTACAGCAGCATTAGACTTTTTTTTTGTTAACTTTAAAAAAAAATTAAGGACATATACAGCAAAGTGAGCTGTATTAATGTTGTTTTGCACCAGCATTATGAAATTATTATATAAAGTAAAGCTAGTGTTTTATTAAGCTCAACTCTTTAATTATTCATATCCATCAGCAGGACTTGATAAGATCTATTCAATTCATTTCAAATTTATTTAAACAGTGCCAAATCACAAACAACAGTCACCTCTAAAGTAGGTTGCGACAGCAGAACCAGGCACAAGGAGGCGCAATTTGTTGGGCGTGAAGGGAGGGAGACAGGACAAAAGACATGCTGGGGAAGACAGCCAGGGATTATTAATAACTCATGGTTAAATCTAGAGTGGTCTGTAAACACATGGTGAGAGAAAGAAGTGAGAAAAGGAGAAATGCAGCCTAAGTCTACTACAGCATAACTATATATTTAAGCAAAAAAAGAAGAAGGTTTTAAGCCTAATCTTAATCTTAAGTACCAAACATGTCTGCCTTCGGAATCCGAGCTGGGAGCTGGTTCCATAGAAGAGGGTCCTGAAAGCTGAACACTCACTCACTCTCTGAACACAAGAAAGCCTGCAGTCTGACAGCAAAGTTCTCTATTGATCTGTAATCCTGCAATTATCAGTATATTGTAATTACAATAACATTTTATGGATATCCTTAAAAGGGTTAATCCATTAATTTAATGTAAAAACTGATTATTCACTTGGTGTATCAAAAAATGTATGTTTTAAACCCAGTTACTAGTTTAATAAAAGTATTTTGACTTTTGTTGAATGGATGAGAAAACATTATTACATTAATTATGGAATAAAATTACAAGAGTTTTCAAATAAACTCACATGATAAAGCCCAATATCATTTTTTCCATAGTAGGCCTTGTGTTTGTCCATATTTTTTTTTCACATGGAACTACATGTTGTTGTTTTTTTTGTAAACTACATACATACAAAATCTGATAAAATATACATGATTTCATTTTAATTTAAAACTAAAACAACTGTATTTTATTTTATTCTTGCATAAAACAGAGAAATTTTGCGTATTTCAAATTTCTGTATTCTTACGTAATGGAAAATTTGTAATTTGTGTACAGTTACACTGTAAAAAAATATTCCGTAGAAAAACGGAAAATGTCCTGGTAATTTTCTGCCAGTATATTTTCTGTTTTTTTACGGAAGTTTGACGGACCTTTCTGTAAACGATAAAACGGAAAATTCTGTAGATTTACAGTATACTCTCTGTACTATTTATGGACATTTGCTTCAGCTATAAAACGGAAAATTCCGTTTATTCATAGTATATTTTCTGTATCATTAACTGATATTTTCCGTTAATAGAAAAATTCAAATTTCTGTTTATATTACTATTTCCAAGCACTTCTTTTCACTGTAACTCATTAAATATAGTTCTTTATATCCTTAAACGTACATTTCTATGCAATTACAACCTAGTACACCATGTGCTCAAAAATTCATAAATTAAAACTTAAATTAATTTGTGCTTCGTACACAACAACATTGGTACAATTAATGTTAAATATTCTTTTATTCTCCTCAACTCTAAAACTATACTAAAATATAATGACAGCATCCATCTTGTCATAAAACGACTAAACAGCTGATACATGAACAAAATAACTCACAAGCTTTCAAATTTGAGCATTTTTATTTCCTTAAAATCAGGTTGCCCTCATGTAAATGTGTTTATCTACATTCATTCAAGCGGCTCCCAAGTGTTTTCTTCAAACAGGACACCTGACAAACAAAAAATGTCATATTTAACGATATGTTCACATTTAATAATATCCAGATTACCTTTTAGTTAGAATCACTGCCTTGTGGTAGTTTTGCCTCAGCCAAATGGTTAAGGTGTGGTTTACATCCATGTCTGTCCACTTATGATACAGTATACACATGTAGTCAGTTATAGCCAAACACCTTTGATTACTGAATTGCATTACATTACATTCACTTCATTAATGAAGTGAATGTAATTCACATTTGTGTGAACATTTGTCTGAGATGAACTCTTTGGGCTCTTTACCTTACAATATAACATACTTGGGTCAAAATTTGTTGACTGTTTAAGTGGTGCCACATGAATAAATCTGAACAGATCTAAAGAAGATGTTCCTGAACTTTGGGTTTATTCGAACAGGACGGATGGATAACCACAGGACTTTTCCCCATATGATAACTACAACACATAATAAATTAAGACAGATCACTGTCCCAAACTTAAAGATAAAAGTGTATTTACGGGACTTGTTTTGTCAGTGAGGAGCAAAGTACAATTAGAAGTGCTTGTTCTGATGAAAAGTTAAACTGTAAACAGCAGCGTAGTGAATAAGGATCTGTGTCATCCTCAGCAGTGACAACACTTAAACATCATAGTTCAAAATCCTTAATGCACACCTTTTTCTCCACGGTGTTCAAATGCTCTGAGCTGTTTAAGTAGAGGAAAAAGTCTGACATATTTCATGACCATTAAATGTTAGACAAGGCTCTGAAAACAAGGTTACGGTTACAAACAAAAACCTCTGCTTGTGCGCACAGACCCTAAATCACAACAAATAAGACAATAGTAAGACAACTTACTACAAAGTCTTGTTACCACTCTTCATATAACAGTGTGACAAAGTCCTGAATGCAGCCTGCATGTTAGTCCATCAAGGTCCATCTGAGCTTTAAATAAAATACACTCAGCTT